GCAGCGATAAATAAGGACTGATTCCCAAGGGAAACTTTCTGCGGAGGTACGGTATTTCAGGGAACGCATTTGAAGAAGGCAACACTTTAGAGGAAGAATTTCAGATAGGGGTTTCCCTTGAGTAGTAAGTTTCAATCCTGCCCCATAGGAAGGGAGGTGGTAAGAGATTGAGGGAGGGGGGTGGTGTTGGGGTTTACAGAGAGAATTCCAGCGCTCACGGAACCACTCAGGTTTGTAACGAAATCTTCATTTAACTTTCACAGGATGCAGCAATGATCGACCTGTGAGCCTGATGTGGAAGCTTTCTGACACCAAGATGTACATATAGTTTAAGCATAATGACGATTGTAGTCTAGAAACATCTGGCAAAATGTGTGTCATCCTAGGCAATAATAGACGTAAAGGAAGGATCACTGTTAGTAGCTAAGCAACTGCAGACCAACCCCTCCCCCAACATTAGCCTTAATTTGTTATCAGTTGAATGTTTTTGGAATAGGGGAGGGGTAGGTGCGCAGCACTTGAGATACTGACATGGATCATAAAGGGACAAAGTACTTATGTAGATTAGTTTTTAAGGATCGTAAGTTATCACGTGGATATAACTATAAAGTGTTAAAAAAGGAAAGTTTTGTGATACCTTTATAGAGGATCACTGAAAATCTCATTATTTATAAGCGCTAGAATCTTAGCTCGATTGATCGATTTGATTGTAAGGAAGCTTCGCACAGAATCATGTACCTTGCGTACAAAATAAGACAACTGTATTTATGGATCTGTCACGCAATGCGAACAACATGACTACAAGCCAAGCTTGGGTATTTAAAGTGTAAGCTTTATTTTGGAGATTGTTAATATTCATTATCTGCGTGTCGGTGTTTATTTTCATGAGTATAGTACCTAGTCACCAATATTATTGATTAGCTGTGATAATTTTTAAACGTAACAAAGAATATTTTTCAATTGAGTGTCTTTGGCTATCTGGGAATACACTTTGTGTCCTCACTACCCCTCTGAGATTGAGCAAGAAAACCATTCAGCTGCCAGACTTAAACCAAACGCGTCTTGCTCACTATCGTTTTCCCGCCCTTCGGTCCGGTCACATTTTGATTGGTTCCTGGAGATATTCATCTTTGCTCTGATTGGCCGTTCTGACCACCTTGGATGGCTTTATGACACTCAATCGTAAAAGGCCCTAATGTATTCTTGTTGAATGTAATTGGATGGCGTTGCATCCTATTTACAATGTCATGCAATAATTGTTCCTCTTTGAATTTGCTACAGAAGAAGAACTCCTTTAGAAACCGAGGTCCTTTACCTCGCTGTTTCTGACGGTGTCTGTAATATGCGTGAAGAAATTTTGCAGAGAATTGCAATGTTGCCGATTATGCATATCAATTTTGCTATAGACCCACCTCATTTTGTAGAAAATAAACTTATCAGTGTTTTCGTTGATATGCAGCATTTAATTCTGTTTTCTTCTCTTAGAGTAGCTGAGCCTTATAAAACATATCAATTGTTTAATCTGAGATCACATGCAAAGATATGTTTTGTACGCTCCGCTTAGTTTCGCCTCCTTATTTCTAAATGCTGCAGCTTGCAGAGGGAGGGGGAGGGGGGGTTATCATTTTTGCGTCCATTTTATCGTTATTTTTACTTCACAGGAAAGGCAATGCACAGATTTTATCATACTCTCTCTTGAAGGAAGAAAAAATGAGTCAACTTAATTAGGTCTTTTTAAGCTTTATCTCAGCAGAATAGCAATGTTTCATGTTTATTCGTAGCTTCGTTGCTCAAATATAAAAATTTCAAAATAATACTGCTTTGGTTTAATTCATTTGCTTGTTTTATACTGAAATCTAAGTTGTCAAGGTGTCTGAGTATTTGAAAAAAGTCTAAGTCGTTGAGTTACACAATTTTCATTTTCAAATTTGTTTTTCAATCTATTTTCAATTTCAGAGCACATTCCTAGAGATAATAGTTCTTGCAATATTAATATAATCACCGTCCTCTCTTCTTTTCATCGTACACAATTCCTACATCTCCTTCGTTCTTGATAAGCTGACAGAGCGTGCAAAGGAAATTCCGTGACAAATCTGTGACGTATCAGCCTTCGATTGGGTTAGGTTGTTAATCCATATTCATCAGAAATTGTGCAATTTTCAGCAAACTTCGCTTTTCCACTTAAGAGTGAACATTTGTCCTCCCGTTGTGCTCAAGAAGAAATGATTCCTTGAAGTTATTATTTTACCAGAAGGTGAGCTTTCCTTCTTGAAAATGTTGCCTTAAACTCTTTCAGGGAGGTGAAGGAGTCATATCCTCATTGTTTCACGCGTCAACAAGTATTAGCTTCTCGGTCTGAGCAGCTTTTCGACTCAGATCGATTGAGTACGGATGCTGACCTCCACAGAAACACAACCTTTAGTTCTGGTATAATGAATCGCATAATGTCTCTTGGTTGGCGTAAATTACGAAGTTACACAGAGAGGGGACGAGATTTTGTAGTTGAACGCTGCCACGTGGAGTTTTAAAGAGTTGTGGTTGGCGAATTTCTTCCCTACAGAACTTTTGCATAACAAAAACGATGCAAAATATTTATTTTGATTTTGTATTTCTTCGTAAGATGTTTTTTTTAATCTCCGTGTAAGTTTAAACAGTTGGCAGGCGCCTGATCACATCGAAATTTTTTTTTCAGAGAGAAAATAGTGGTCTGAAGAACGATGGTAAAGCGAACGAACTGGAAGCAGTGGGCATAAGGACGATAGGGAAAAAGATAAGAATTTTAAAAGTTTTGTAGTAACAGTAGTAAAAATGGTGGCTGTCTATCACATATCCGCGCTTTTGATAACTTTACATTACGTGTATTACTGATCGCTTAGTCGTTGTTTGCCTAACAGTCAGTACCAAAATAATTTCTCTATTGATGTGGCGGAAAGGTGATATTTTTTAAGGTGGCACTGTAACAAAATACCCTATACGAGGGCTCAACGAAATTATAGAATTGGAATCTTGAGAGAAATGTCATGAATTGACCTTTTAAAATTTATACCAACAATTACATCGACTGAAAAACCACACTAATGACTCGTATCCTGCAAATTTATAACCTTTAGCACGACTGTTTTCGAGGAACAAACTCTAAAAAGCCATTGTTCTACCAATCCAATAACTAATCCTTCTCACATACGTGAGAAAAAATATTGAGCGCCCTACAGACGACTTCCTCTTGACCTTAACGTTTTCAACGTACCGCACGAAAAAATTAAGCTTGACCGTCAGACCATGCTAGACTAACTCATAAAAACTACAGTCGAAAGAGAGCAACTTGTTTACGCATTTGCATGACTCGTGACTTGGATGACTTCCAATCTCCCCGGTGAAACTCAAGTCGCTTTACTGACATCAGTACTTATTCGACAAGACAGGCCTCGCTACATGATCGAGTGCTAAATTTGTGCAAATAACTTCTCTACTTTCTTCTCAGTTATTTTAGCAAAACTTGTCCATAAGAAACTTCTGAAAAAATTATCCATGTGAAAACCAAAATGATATTTCATTCCTGAAGTGAATCGGATTAACAAGTTAATTTTGATCAACAAAGAGGCCTTTGGTTGTTAAATTAGGACAAAAAACAACACAGTGCCATCTAAAGATTTGTATTCTACTGCTCTTGTTGTTGCATCAACTGAGGTCAATTTAACTCAGGAGGACATTGGCTCTAAAGAAACGAGCAAATGAAGAAAAAAATGAACATTGCTTTCAGTTCTACGTTTTTATTTTATTTCTTATAGTTTACAATTTCCCTGATATTTTAAGGTTTGCGCCAATGTTCTCTTGTTATTTTTAGAACTCTACTAATGCCTAGTTTACCTGAATTTTAAAAAAGCAACCAAACAAACAAACAGCAACGCAATTTTCGGTAACATTTTTACATAAACCAGTTTAAAAGGACTTCACTTACTGACAAAGAAATTTCATTTTTTTACAGCCTTTTGAGATTATTTCAATCGATGGTAAATGTTTTCTTTGAAAAATCGTAGAAATAATGGCTCTCACATTAAATGATGGGAAATTTGTAAATGGTCAGTTCAGCAGTCAACAAAGAATTGAAAAAAGTAACTGCGTCGTATTCAGGTTGTTTTCAAGAAATCTTACATTTTGATCCTTCGAGGAAATCATATTAGATGAAACTGAGAATGACAAATGTTTTCACTTTTTTAGACAAAATTCTTTCATTTGCTTCTTGTTTCAAATTTTTCATTCAGAAGCTTGTTTTAAAACTGGGCGCTTGCCATTAACAAACTACTTCCTTTAGGCGTGCTTCGTGCGTTACGAGTGAAACAGATCTTAATGAAGACTACGCAAAAAAAGCCAAAAAATAGAAGGATTTTATTGGACTCAGTATTCACGCCGAAATGATTCAAAATGCTAAATTCCTTTTATCAATATCTTTTTTGTGGTATGTCTTCACACATTAACGACGAAGAATCAAGGAAAGTATTTACTTTTGCGCTCATCGCAGTTTGAAATTTTGAACCGAACACAGAGATTTAGTAAAACGAGCAAAACCTGAAATGCAAATTAATGGGTTCAATTTGATTTTAGAAAATCAAACGCGTTACATTGTCTCATTCTGTTTAGAACTCAGTTGGTCGAAAAGGCAAAATTTTAGCTGAAACTACGTCCTTATGCACTCATGGCGGTTTGAAATTTAAAGAAATACGATAATTTTGCCACACGCACAAAACTTGAAATGCAAATTAATGGGTTCAATTTTTTTTCTCATATAATCAAACGTGTTACACTATTTCATTCTGTTTAGAACTCGGTTGATCGAAAAAAGTAAAATTTTTAGCTTTTGTTCGAATACTGGTTTATGTAAAACTATATTCTCGATTGGACCGTAAAGTTTATCAACGTCAAAACTTGGAAGTTATACTGACTCGACACAAATGAAACCAACTTTTTTGCTGTAGACCAGGCATTTGATTTTAAAGTAAGGTATAGCTTGTTTACTCTTTAAGTAGAGGAGATCTTTTGCGCTGTCATTTGCAGTAACACAGGAATACCAAAAAAATAATTTCCAGAAATCTTCGTGCCTTCAGTCTTCAGTCTTCAAATTTCTAAATTCATATTTATAACAGCACCAAAGCTTTAATTTTGATCTGCGAACTTTTTTGGTAGAACCGAATTCCGAAAATTAATTTCGGAATTTCAATCAATTTTTGAAAAT